CAAAAAAAAAAAAAAAAAAAAAAACTGGCCTGGGCCAGGAGCAGTGGCTCACACCTATTATCCTAGCACTCTGGGAGGCTGAGGCAGGTAAAGTGACTGAGCTCAGGAGTTCAAGGCCAGCCTGGGCAACAAGGCAAAACCCCATTTCTACTAAAAATGCAAAAAAAAAAAAAAATTAGGCCAAGCAGGGTGGATCATGCCTGTAATCCCAGCACTCTGGGAGGCTGAGATGGGCAGATCATGAGGTCAAGAGATCAAAACCATCCTGGCCAACATGTTGAAACTCCATCTCTACTAAAAATACAAAACTTAGCTGGGCATGGGGGCATGCGCGCCTGTAGTCCCAGCTACTCGGGAGGCTGAGGCAGGAGAATCACTTGAACCTGGGAGGTGGAGGTTGAAGGTAAGCCAAGATCATGCTCTGCACTCCAGCCTGGCGACAGAGCAAGACTCTGTCTCAAAAAAAATAAAATTTAAAAATTATATGTATATATATGTATGTATAAAATTAGCTGGGCATGGTGGCATGTGCCTGTAATCCCAGCTAATTGTGAGGCTGAGGCAGAAGAATCATTTGAACCCGGGAAGCCACGGTTGCAGTGAGCCAAGATCGCACCACTGTACTCCAAGTCTGGGCAACACAGCAAGACTCTGTCTTAAAAAAAAAAAAAAGCAAAACAAAAGAAAAGAAAACCTGGTCTGTTATTGTTCATACAGCTGAATTTTTTAAATGTTCACAAAAAAAAAAGAAGAGGAGGAGGAGGAGAGCCCCTTCAAAGACAAGGAGAACTTTCAATCAGGAAAAAGCAAAAGTCTTAACAAAGAACTATTCAACCATTAACAATTTACAGTGTTTTGTTTTGTTTCTTGTTATTTAAGCAGGAGGAGAGGGAGGGAAAAAAACAGGAGCAGGGAGCTAAAGAAGTAGAAGGATCCAGGAGACTGGATTTTCAATTGCTTCTTCTTATTTTTTGGAAAGAAAGATTCACTGGCTTCTAGGTGGACAGAGCAAAAGAAAAGTATAATGTTTCTCCATGATTTGATGTGTTGACTAAGAAAGGAAAAAAGGATCTGGTCAAATTCCAGGAGGCAAGGGTGAGCAAAATGACAGCAATGTCTCTCTGTCTATAGAAACATCACCTGTTCAGCTGGACCAATGTCAAGTAGATGATGAGCTCCTAGCAGCAGCAGCAAAAAGGTGTATCCGCAGACACGCAAGAGCCCCAAAAAACACTAAGTTCATTAGGTTGGGTATCAGAAAGTCTGAGACTCCGTTTTTTTTTTTCAGCTCTATTTCTAACTTGCTGTTGACCTTGAACAAGTTACATAACCTGTCTGGAATCAGGGAGTTGAGGATTTATGCCCTTTCCATCTCTCAATTCATACCTGGTTCTTCACCCCCATCCCATTATTTTTAGAAATCTATTTTGGCACATATTTTGAGTTACATGTTCTCTGTTCTTAATATAGTCTTTAGTCCCTCAACCACCTTGTGACAGATTGCGTAAAAACCAAAATAGTGTTAAAATATGGCACATTTGTTTTTTATATTAAAAAATGTATATTATATTTAAAATGTTAAGCCTATAATCTCAAAGCCCTAAAAAAAATTGGTTTTGTTTTCTGCATATTACTTGCCAGTTTTTTTTCCCCAATGATGCTGCTGATTTTTTACTTGTCTACTACAAATAAACACTACTTTTTTGTAATATTTAGTCTATATTTGATTCCCTTCTATAGAGCAACAATCATTGATGAAAAAAATGCTCA